TAAAAAAAAAAAAAAAAAAATGCACGGTCATCAACATTTACATGCGATGTTTGATTAACGAATATACTTTGAAAAATAAAAATATGCAAAATATCGTAACAACCACGCGTTGATGGATCAGCAAAAATACATTTTCAACCGATATTAACAAATTTGTCCACGAGTAAAAGTTATCCCTAAATTTTCAAGTGCGTACTTGGGAAAATTTTAGTTAGTGAAAAAATGGACCAACAATAATTAAAAAAAAAAAAAAAAAATATGATTGTAGTTCGGCTTACGTCGACGATGTGCTTGTAGAGGCGACTGTACTTGTCGTGGACGCGCCTGAGCTCCTGGTCAATGTAGCTGCGCTCGCTGAGCAGACGCATCTTGCGGGTGCGCATCTCCTTGACCTCGTCGCTCAGGCAGTTTATTTGATCGAGCTTGCGCTTGCGGCAGTTCTGCGCGGCCACCTTGTTCTTGCCGCGGCGCCGAATGTCACGGATCAGCGAGAGCTGAGCTTCGCTCAGATCGTACTTGCTCAGACGCTCGTTGAACTCGTCCATCGGAAGGTTTATTATGTCGTTCACGGCGATCGGCACGTTGAGGGCGCGCGCCCGCTTCTCGTCTCGCGTCAAGTGCTCGTCGGCTTCGCTTTTGCTTCCACTGCTGCGCCCTGCTGAAATACAGTAAATTATTACTCATTATTTTGTATGTATGACGTAGGTGTTGTATCAAAGAGGAAGAACAGGAGGTAAGACCACAACAGATAAAATAAACACGAAAACGCACCTTTTTTGTCGCGAGAGACGGGCCTCTGCAAGGATCCGGAGCTCTCTGGTGGCATGTGATACGTGTGGTTGTGCTGCACGTGCTCCAAGCCCGAACGCACTACACATGAGAGGAATCCTCGATGAGTACATATGTATTCTATGTGCATTACGACGTACCAGTTGTACGTAAAACCATGGAGTAAAACTCACCTGATGGTTGGTGCCTGGCAAAGTCAATACTGCAGCTGTACTTGATCTCCGACTGTAGTCCACTGGCACCCTCGATGGGGCCACTGTAGGCGAGCCCGGGGGGCCCAGCTGCCACCGCGCCCTGGCCAGCCTCGTAATCGTACTTGAGCGTCGCGGCCGCGGTACCAGTCGGTGAACCGCTCATCGGACCCTGCTCCTGGAAGCAGCGCTTCCCAAACATGTGGTGCTTCTTCTGGGCGACGGGCACCAAGCCGCCCCGGTCAGCCGCCGCTACTGTCTGATGGCAGGAGCTACGCTGCACTGAGTGTCGCCCGCTCGATGGCTGGTGCGAATAGCCGCAATCGTACGGCAGTCGGTACTTCCTACGACCAAAATGCAAACGGATGATATTTATACCGCAGCGCGTATCTATCATGGATCTAATTATTTAAAAACAAAACCCGCGACCAATCATCCAACATATCGTATACCATATTTCTATAAATAATCTCATGATGATTCAAGCGTTGCGCATGATTTCATATACGAAAATTATGTAAGCCAATTGAGAAAAATCGCGGTATCCCTGAAGAGTCGACGTGAAATTTTCAAAGGTTTTTTTTTTCCTACAGGTTTCAGTTCCTAGCACCGGATCTTCCGACAATGAAGTGCAAGATGTGTATTTCGTGCAACGCTTGTGGGATTCCCGTTAAAACCGCCCTTGACTTTAGACCCAGACATGACTCTACCACATTGAATAATTGTAAGGTGTAATAACTCACCCTGAAGAAGAGGCAGCGGCAGCGGCGGCGGCAGCCGCGTAATCCATCGCGTAGTGTGAGTCAGCCTGCGTGTGGCTGGAGTTGGAGCCGGTCTCCATCCACTCGTCACTGAGCGAGGGTACGCGCTCGCTGCCCATGCTACTGACCGCGCTGTCGCTGGACGCGTCCATGCGCTCGTCCGTCGCGCCCAGTAGGCTACCCGTGGCCCCAGCCGTGGGCCCCGGCACTGTCGTTGCCGCCGTCGCCGCGGCCGCCGTCGTTGTCGCCGCCACCACCGTCGACTGGACCATCGGACCAGCTCCGGTGGACCCGAGACCATTCACCCCTACCACTGGTTCTGCGCCCTGGTGGACGCCTCCAACTGGCAAGCCCGTCGCACCGTTGCTTGCTCCAACCGCACCCGCCGACGATCCAGCGCTGCCGTACGCACCTGCAACCCACCGTACACCACACAATTACGATAATAATATGTGCAGAGCCATCACGCATTTTGTGTTACATATAATCCATATTGTAATTCGGATCAAACGGAAAAACTTCACTGTCGGTCTCGTCGTTTTATATCGTCTTGTGATTGATGAGTGTGTCGATTCATTTCTTATTTTTCATCAACAACCTCTTTGAGTTTTTCTTCAATCATTCGTTCCAATCTTTAGATTTAAATTAAGAAACTTCGAGTGAGTCACCTTGAATTTTATTTTATTAATGGTGACAGGGTTTATCTTAAAAAAAAAAAATAAAAAAAAAAAAAATTGGTTCGATTTACTTAAAAATGAGTTGTAGATCGTAAATATTCATTCAAACACGTCTCATTTTGTGTATCAAACATCGATTGGATGTTGAGATAATATGTATAATATTTGCATGATCGAAATACATCGTTGCTAAGTACAAAAACCTACTGCAAGACTAAGTTGCGAATCGAAAACAATTTTTTAACTCTCAGGTACCCATCCAGTCTTTAGTAAATATATTCACTGATTTACAAGTACCAGTCTAATTTGAGTTGACGATAATTGTATGACATAGGTGACCAACCGCGATTTTTGTTGATGACAATATAATATAAATTTGACTTTTTTTTTGTCAATCGGTTAATTTCAATACGAAAATACGATTACAGTCATGCGTTATGCGTCCACAAGTAATACCTAGCTATAAATAACACAACACTAGATTATACCAATGCTTAAACATAACAGTCAATAAGTCTTTGATTTTAGTGACATATACTCTTTTAAAATTAGGGTATTCCTTTTCACCCCTGTTAAGACTGTATTTAATCGAATGTATATCGCAGCTGATCGAAGCTGTGATCTTCAGAAATTGTTAAGCAATTTACATATTATAAACAGAAAAAGTAAGAGAAAATGTTTTAGTGTGTATTAATTACTTTATTCAAATTGATGACAATTTTATTTATTTTTTTCTCCTTTTTCAAGAAAAAAAAATAAGTAAAGGGAGGAGAAGGAAAAAAAAAGACAGAGTCGCGTGTCTCTGCATTGTAAGGGTGAGTATTTTTATATTTTATGTGGTACCCTATCCTCGTCAACGGACTTACAAATGTAACAAATAAAGATAAGTGGGGAGTGGTTAAAAATATTTAACTAAACCGTATGTATCGCGATAAAGATTCATGTTTTTTTTTTATGGTAAAAAAAATTTAGTACAAAAGTACTCAAGTATCACAACAAAGTTCTATCAATTATTTATGACGCACGTCGCAGGAGATAAAGAGAAAGTTAATAAACACGTGCTGATATCTTTTAAAATTTCAATAAGATCTCATGGAAAAAGTGAATCGAAGTAGTTGACGTTTTAATTTAAGCATAGGCTAACGAGGGCTTGTTCACCCTCTTCCTTTAATGCACATTTTTCTGAAACACTGATGCAAGCGCCATCAAACGAGCGATTCGCTGCGTGTAGATAACACACCATGTATAACTGATAGCAAGGAAGATTCGTAGAACAGACGATACGAGAGAGATAAGTACATGAAAATGTACCCTAAAGCGGGCAGATACAAGATAATATAAGTGCGCAATTGCGCGCGCACAATGTCGTCGCTCGCGTCATCCCCTCTCCCCCGATTCCTCACCGCGTCATTATCCCTGGACACATACATGTGTATAATCACCCATGATTCCCATGAGTGTGTACTGTACTCCAGGACCGTGTATGTATGACGATTGGCCCGCGCTCGCGTCGTTCGCCTGCACTCACTCACTCCTCAGTCAGCCTTAGCCAGACGGGGACCTCAACGCCGTCATCTCTAAACAATCGACACGTGCGGACTTTTCATTGTGAACTGGACATCTTCAGCTATCTGTCCATCAACAGCCACGCATTTTCTTCAAAAGGTGAAGGTTAGTAGTTGCATTCGCGAAATAAACACGTGCTATCCCTGTACGTAAGTAACTGTAACTGGAAAACTCGGTGGCGACCACAAAAAATGCGAGTGCGCTAGTCCACGAGTGCGCTTGAGCCTGTTGCGCAGGAAATTCAAACAGTTGCCGGTTGTTTTCGTTTCGTGGTGCGGCGTTTTATTTTCTCGTGGCTTATATCGACCTATTCGTCGCACGGTTTCCCGAGAAATTTTTTTTTTACTTCGATTTTTTGGTCCTCGTGTTAGTCTGCTTCTCGTCGTTACACGTATTTATCGTAGTTCGCCTTTACTTTGTGTCGCCCGTGTCGAAAGAACGCAACACTACGAAGCTCTTGAGGTTCCTGGGAAACTTAATTGATTCGAGTTACGCATTAAGCTGATATTGCTTACTATAATCGTTATGCGTTGTCCAACTGTACCCGGAATAGTTGTAACTTTATACACCTATTAAATTTTTTTTTTTTTAGGCATGTGCCTTTTCTACTGCTTGGTGAAAATGTATTTGCTCGCGGAGACTATCGGAATGATATGCGTCATATAGCGTTCGATTGCCCCGTTTAAACCTGTAGAACAAGCACGAACAAGTCAACAAAAAAATTTTCTCGTGACGCAAAGAATATACAAACATGTAGTAGTTGGTACGACGGTTTCCAAGTAAACCCTTTTACTTAGCTTTACAGGTTGTAAACAAAACAAAAAAAAATGGAAGACGAGAGTTGGGATGACGAATCCATGGCTCCTGCGGCACCGGCGCCGACCGTAAGTTGTCATTTTTTAGTGTACATGACAGCGTAAACACAATACCTAATTTTTTTTTCTCCTTCAACTTTATTTTTCCAGAACTTCAGCAAAGGTCGCGGGTTTACTCCAGCCAATAACAATAGTTATGGTGATGGCGGTGATCAGGTGATTATATTCATAACACTTTAAAAAAAATATTATTTATAACTCATATTAAAAATAAGTATTAAGTTGATCCATAAATAAGTTTCAAATATAAAATTTTGCAACTGTTAGGCTTAAAATATATTTATCTTATTATATTAAAGGATGCTATACGTGTTTACATCAATTTTCATTATGGGAAAATAAAATTTTTTTTCAAGCGAGGAGGAAGTTACGGTGACAATGATCGTGGGGGTCGTAGTCGGGGAGGAGGACGTGGTGGCCGAGGTAGCCGCGGCGGTGGAGGTGGAGGCTACGACAATTCCAATGGTGGTGGTTGGGACAACAAAAAAAGCAACGACAATTGGAACGATGGTCCCAAAGAACTACCTAAAGCTGAAGACGATTGGCTTGCCCAAGGAAGTGGTGGGGGTGACGATTGGTTAGCCCAAGGAAACGGTGGAGGTGGATTTGGCGACGATGATGATGGTGGATTTGGAGGTGGAGACAGAAGAGGAGGGCGCGGTGGTCGTGGCGGTCGGGGCGGTCGAGGTGGCCGTGGTGGTGATCGCGGTGGTCGAGGTGGTCGTGGCGGAAGAAATTTTGGCGACAACAATCGAGATAACGATGATGATAACGGTTTTGGAGGCGATTCTGGAGGCTTTGGAGACGGTAATGGTGATGAAGGATTTGGTGGAGGTAAATAAAACTGTTTTGCAATATGTTCTAAACTAGTGATAACAATAAGCGAATGTGTTAACATTTCGGAACTATTTTTGTAGGCGGTAGAGGCCGTGGACGCGGTCGAGGACGTGGAGGTGGTGGCCGAGGTGGCCGTGATGGGGGAGATGATCGCGGAGGTCAAGAAGGTGGAGAAGGGGGCGAACCAGAAAAGCCACGTGAAATCTATATTCCTCCCGATAGGTCTAATGATGACGAGACTCTCTTTGGCAGTGGTACGAAAGCTGGCATTAACTTTAGGTAAATGCTTTGAATATCTTGTTTATAGACTTTAATTATATGTTTATACTTTATTAGTCGGTTTTTTTTAACTCACAACCATTAAACGTTAAGTCAATTTTAAATTAAATTACTTATTAACGTGAACATTAAAAAAAAAAACTTTATTTCAGCAAGTATGAATCCATTGAAGTGAAAGTAAGTGGTGAAGATGTTCCCAATAAGTTGAATTCTTTTGATGAAGCAAATCTGAGATCTTTGCTTGTCGATAATATTAAAAAGTCTGGATACCAAATTCCAACACCCATTCAAAAACATGGTATACCCATTGTTCTAGCTGGTAGAGATTTGATGGGCTGTGCCCAGACAGGCTCTGGAAAAACTGCTGCCTTTTTAATACCAATCATACATAATCTTTTACTAAAGCCAAGAGAAATCAATGATATGGGTTCTTTATCTACAGTTGAACCAAGAGCTTTGATTTTAGCCCCTACAAGAGAATTAGCCATTCAGATTCATGATGAATGCAGAAAGTTTTCGAAAGACTCTGTACTAAAGTGTTGTCTTATATACGGAGGTACAGCTGTTGGACATCAGCTGAAGCAAATATTTTATGGCTGTGATCTTTTAGTGGCGACTCCTGGCCGACTTAAAGACTTTGTTGGTAGAGGAAAAGTTGTTTTTAGCGCAATTGAATACCTCGTCCTTGATGAAGCTGATCGAATGATAGACATGGGTTTCATCGGTGATGTAGAAATGGTAACAGTCTCCTCTATTTATTTATCATTATTTCATCCGATACGTAAGAATTTTGAGCAAGTGTTGATAATACTTTTATCCTAGGTAATACGCCACGAAACTATGACTCCCCCCGGAGAACGTCAAACGCTTATGTTCTCCGCTACCTTTCCTCGTGATATTCAGGAGTTGGCAGTAAAGTTCCTGAACAACTACATCTTCGTAGCTGTGGGAATTGTTGGTAGCGCGTGTAGCGACATAGAACAATCGTTCCTCGAAGTCAAGAAGTCCGATAAAAGAAGTAAATTGAAAGAAATTCTCGAAGAAGAGCGCAACAACGATACCCTCAAAGGAATTCTGGTGTTTGTTGACCAAAAGAGAACTGCTGATTTTATAGCAGCGTTTTTGTCTGATAATAACTTCCCGACCACGAGTATCCATGGTGATCGATTGCAGCGAGAGCGAGAGGAAGCTCTAAATGATTTTAAAGTAAGATTTAATTCGTAATTATAATTAACTCATAAGAATAAAGAATTTTTCCAATGGTGTGAGATTTAATTTCAACCCATTAATTTCAGTCTGGTAGGATGTGCATCCTTGTCGCCACAGCTGTAGCTGCCAGGGGTTTGGATATCAAAAACGTGCGATTTGTCATCAACTTTGATCTGCCAAAGGAAATTGATGAGTACATTCATCGAATTGGACGCACAGGTCGAGTCGGAAACAAAGGAAAGGCCGTCAGTTTTTACGATGAATCCATCGACAACAGGATTCAGCCTGACCTAGTGAAAATCTTGGAAATGGCTAATCAACCGATACCTGAATGGTTGGCAAGTGGAGCAGGCTACAGTAATCTAGGACCATCCGACTTTGGTGCCGAAGATATAAGAGATGTAAGTTATTTTTCAAATACAATGTCCACTTGTTGTACGTACAAGCAGAATTTTAACCACGTTGAAATTATTATTAATTGTTTCAGTTTCCAAACTCATCAGGTGCTCAAGGAACACTTCCGGTCGAAAACGATGATGCTTGGTAAAACGTATTACGCAACAGTGATAATAATAATAACTTGTAAATTAGGTTAATGATGAAACCTAAACAGTATTGTACCTTAGTTACAATTACAATTAGCATAACAACAAAAAAGAGACTATAAGAATAAGAGAAATTCATAACTAATCATCTAAAGTTCCTTGACTGATGAATGATAAGATTACATAATTTAACAGTTGTTGAAGTATATATGAAATAAATTTTTCTAATGAAATTACTATGATGCGTGTAATTTGTGTAGCCCCTTGTAATTTAAGTGCTTCATACGTTGAAGTAAACTGCTGATAAAACTTACCGTCGCTGACATTGAAGGCAAGATCTTCGCTCCACAATTGTTCATCGATGAAAGTTGTGAAAAAAGATTCGCTCTGGTTCATTGTGTCGACGCTAGAATTAGCGTAATAATTAATGTCGCTCGGTTCGGTTTTATAGTCGATTGCAGTGGAAGATCCCGCACCCATGGGCTCGCTACTGTTGGTCAGGTGCATCGACGTCGCCACGGCTAGTCCCAGGTTGGCCGGTCCAGCTGTGACAGTCAGCAATTCAGTTCAAAAAAGAAAATAATTCGCGATTCAAGACAGTGTAAAAAGGTAATGAGTCGTCTTTGTCCCATTTACCGTGATTGTGGTAGCTGGTGCTACCGGTGCAGTTGTCACCAACGGGCGGCGGAAGGGTGGCATTGTTGAGCAATACCCCAGGCGGAGTCGCTCCCGAGGCTGCAGCCGCCGCTGCCACTGCTGCTGCCTCATGATGACTCGGGTAGCTGAAGTGGTTCGGGTGGTAGTAGTGATGGTGGCCCGGATGGGTGTAGTGCTCGCTACCAGCCCCAGCCATGAAAAAGGGCGATATATCTGAGCGCATGAATGGCGACATGCGGCTCTGTAATAATTAAATTCACCATGTTAAAATTCATTTTTTTCTTTCATCTCGTGGCGCTAGGAGTCGAGTGCTATTGAAACACGTAAGAAAAAAATAAGTAAGGCTTTTAAATTGCTTGTGGCTCGATGGGTAAATTTGTTCAAAGTGCTTTCAAGTATTGAAGAAAAAAACGAGTTGTAAAAAAATCAGATGTAAGTATGTATAATCATAAAACATTTCGTCGGTGTACAACTGTGTAAAAAAGTCACGTATAATATACATGTGCACCATTTTGCAAGGTTTTGAGTACGCAATGGATAAAAATCAATGTTGGTTATTTAAAAATGTACGAAGCCAAAGCATCTCAATGAGTGCGCTCAAGTGTTAACCGGTAAATAAATCTGTATTTTAAAGTTTTCTTGCACACGACAGAGCGACCAATGTTACCGTTACCTGCGATACCCACGTAAACTCCTGCAGATGATGAAAAAAACGAAAAAAGAGCACATGCGCTCGCGCCGAAGCAAGTGGGACAAAAATCAATTGAACGTCAGTTAGCGACTGTACCACTGGTCGTGGAGGATATAAATTGTGAAGTAAAAGGAAACAAAAAAAGGGGGAAGTAGTACTTGGAGTAGTGTTTTATATACGTCGCGGGAGAGTATATACGGACTACCGCGTGCGCGGGTCACACGGCGGCATCAATCATCAGCTGCCGCCCGAGAGCAATCTGTCGAGGCCCGCGGGGAGAATCGCGTCTGTCGGCGGCGCGCTCATCATCTGCCATCGCTTAACTTGCAGCTTTAGGTACCCCGCGAGTGCTTGGACTTTTTTTTTTTTTTTTTTTCTCTCTCTTGCGCACTGCACTTCCTTCTTACATTCACACACACATGCAACCTGTGCCTATATATGTATATTCTGTGCAGCTTCTCCCGTAACCGGACCAGATCGACTTTAAAATTGACCATTTTTTTTTTCTTTCTTTCTAGTTACTCATTGATCTAAGATTCCACCCCAAACTAATACCTGATGGGTGTATACTGTTGCTCCTCCAGAGACACAATGTTAAATTTAGCATCGGTGCAGCACATGATTACCTAATGCGAGTTTTTTTTTTTTTTTTAGAAAAAAGCTCACAAATCGATTGATCGTCGGATGAGCATTCCAATGCATTTTACACGGATCGAGAGATGTACAATGCATTTGTTTCATCCCCCGTGGAGTACACGTGCGAGTCAGTCTCGTGCACGACAATATGGTGCTTGTGCTTATTGTGTTACTTTTTAGGTACATTTTTTGTTCGTGGTAAAAAAAAAAAAAAAAAGAAAAAAGTCACACAAACGGGATTAAACGAGGCACTATGTGTCCCTCGGTGCGCGGCTCCCGCTGCGACGTCCCTCTCTCTCTATATACTTATCGAGCGCTCCACGGTGACGACTCTGGAGCAGGAATGGAAAATTGCGCGTGCAAATTCGCGAGCGAGAGCAAGGAAAAAAAGGTAAGCTGTCACGGAATTTGCGCTATTCCGCTCCCGTTTTTATTACATTACACGCCTCTTTCCCCCCCCCCCCGTACTTCATTTTATGCTCTACACACATAGTTACCGGCCGGACGCTGCGCGCTTTTTTATATCCACGCCGAGCAAAAAAACAGAGCCACTAAGCGTTTGTTTGTTTGTTTGCGGTGAAGAAGAAAAAAAAAAAAATAATAATATTTGTCGCGTGGAGAGACACCTCGAAGTTACTGCCGAGCGTGGATTACAGGTATGCCTCCTGGCACATACTTATCGCGCATTTTTATAATGCAGTTTTAATTGCGTTACATTTCAACTTCAATTTTGTGTCTAACAGCAACGCCTACGTATCTAAGATAATAATACAACATAACATGCAGGCTGATTTTGTGAAGGTGTGTTTTATTCGCTAGTAGGTATTTATAAAAATCAGTGCGCGTAACGTGTATGTATTTGTTATAATATACCAGTGCTTGGACGAATAAAAAATGAAGCACAGAAGAGGAGCTTCATTTTTTATTCGTCCAAGCACTGGTATATTATAACAAATACATACACGTTACGCGCACTGATTTTTATAAATACCTACTAGCGAATAAAACACACCTTCACAAAATCAGCCTGCATGTTATGTTGTATTATTATCTTAGATACGTAGGCGTTGCTGTTAGACACAAAATTGAAGTTGAAATGTAACGCAATTAAAACTGCATTATAAAAATGCGCGATAAGTATGTGCCAGGAGGCATACCTGTAATCCACGCTCGGCAGTAACTTCGAGGTGTCTCTCCACGCGACAAATATTATTATTTTTTTTTTTTTCTTCTTCACCGCAAACAAACAAACAAACGCTTAGTGGCTCTGTTTTTTTGCTCGGCGTGGATATAAAAAAGCGCGCAGCGTCCGGCCGGTAACTATGTGTGTAGAGCATAAAATGAAGTACGGGGGNACATGTTTCCTCGTTACGGAGATAGAGAGAAAATATACTATCAATAAGAGAAAATTGAATGACGATGCAGAAGCGCGCGCGCGCGCGCGTGCCAAATATTATATATACACACTCCTGTGAGTACGAAAAGGAAGTCACTGGTATTGCTGTAAAAAGTTGGAAGGACCCAATACAACGTGGAACTGTGCTTATTTACGTCGCTGTTACTCGAATGATTGGGTCATTTTCGCCAACTTCCGGTTTGCGGCGTCCTACGTGTAAGTTCATTAAAACCATTCGATGCGTCGCAAGACTGAAAAATTTTAGTTTTACATCAATCAAATGCAAGTGGATGCAAACATTTGTGCATGAAAATTTAGGCTGTGCACGGCAACTCGACAAAAGTCTACAGACAGAGCGTCGGCTAATGATATCGATATAGTACCGATAGTGTATTTTTACGCCGCTCGTTATCGTGAAATAAAAAAAAAAACTACATATTTGGTAATCACCGAGGATGGGCGTGCTGCGTTGCGGGCTGCTCTGTTAACCAATTCTAAATGCGAGAGTCGATTAAACTTTGAACAAAGTAGGTATGCATGTATCCGTACAGTAGACAAGTAATAATCGATTTGCTATCCTCTCGACGCGTTATACTTGCAGCTCAGTAAATGGATATGTATATGGAGTGAACAATTGTTTTCTAATTTTTTTTTTTTTTTTATAAAAATCGACACTCTCTGGCAGGCCAACAAGAAAAGAAAAGAAAAAAAAAAAAAAGGAAAAGACCAGCAGCATTGGGCACACTGCATCATCGCACGCAGCGAGAGGAGATAATCAGAGGACGGGCGATTCGTTCGGGACAATTTGCCGCGACAACGAGGTAAAAAAAAAAACCACGCGCTGTAAGGACAAAGGCACTTACTTCGCGACGGAAGCCCGATGCATACATGGCATGGCCGTGGCTTTCTAAGGATTTAGGCGGGCACCCCAACAAGCGAATTTCATTCGAGTCACTATGCCTCAATTATACATTTACGCATCATATAATATGTACAGAAAGTACTCGTTAGGTGGTGAATCTTATTGCTTTTCTTGTTTCACTAAATACCCGCACGTATTTCTTCACAATCATAATTCTTTCCACAATCATTATTTAACGGATTGGTACTATCAAACCGTCTTTCCTATTTTCGGGTATAAATTAACACGACAATATAACTACTTCCGCAGCTGAATTCGAATTAAAGTGGTAGGTCCAAAAAAACGGCAATACATGATTTTGGTTGAAAAACAAAAGATGAGCCGGCGAATGTGGAGTAAAAAATAAGTTGTACATCACCTACATGTCCGCGAATGAGCATTGATTGAACCGCGCGTCTTGGCGCGAAATTCAATTAGAAAATGTTCCCAGGGGCCACGGCAGCTCCATCATCGACCCGTGGTCTCCCTCTCGAGAAAAGAGCGCCGAGCAATCTGGTCCCATACCGGAACACTCGTGCCTAACGCAAAGCCTGATGGCCTCGCTGGAGACCCGACAATCTCCTAATACGCGGCGGCTATGGTCATTTCGCCGAGCGCACTTCCCGCGAGGGAGTATTAGGGCGAACCACGGCGGCGTTATTAAACATTGGATTTCGAGAACGACTTTTCTCTTTGCGCGTCTTCGCTCCACAGCCTCCGGTGAATCGAGAGGAAACGAGCGCGTGTACCGCAACTCGCATAAATCACGACACCTGCAGTCCGGCGAGTGACTGCGCATAATTAACGAGCTCGACAACGGCATCGGCTCCGATTCAGCCAGTTGGGGCTCCGGGACCATATCGCAGATGCACATTCATCCATGTACTTATACAGCCCAGTCTCGTCCACAAGTACCATACTTATAATACCTGCGAGCTGCCGTCGCTTGGTTTCGGTTTTTAGGTAAATAATACTGATTGTGCCATCAAGTGCCAATGTGGTAGCAGCAGAAGCTGCGAAATATGACCCGGTGTTGGCTGAATGCTACCTACGTCATAAGTTTAAAATCCGAGTAATGGTATATAGGATGGCGTTGGATGTGCAAGTCCAGTTTTCAACTTTTGTAATTTGCAATTTGCTCGTAAGGCCCGACCAGGTGGGCTTTTCATCACATGAGATATCGAACTGGCCGTAGGGAAAGAGTTATTGGATTTTTTCCTTCTTGTTATCGTTGTTTCCTTCTTTCGAGTAAAACGTTCAAGGAAAGGGGGGTTCGGCGAGGGAGACGAGGAAGCCTTACGCAAGGCGAAACGGCAACGTGTCATTTTTGGCGACTCTCCCACGCGACCGTTGCATGCATTAACACTGACCCTCGGCCGCATTGTAATTGTTACGTGCGAGCGACTCTTATGTGTACCTGATGTTGTATTACATGTACAGCCCAACATTCATCTACAACATAAGTGCACGGAGCAAAACGTGGGTTTTATCTCTCGTCGGGCCTTGGTACTTGTAACAACCCAGAGAGTCCATAGTCCAGTAAAATTAGAACTTGTTCGGGAAAAATAACTTACGAGGAGCCGTTTTACATAAGATTTGTTTGGAAGGAATAAAAATGTCCCCAAACGAATCTCAATTGCAATGAGGACCAATGGATATCTGATGGATTATTATTTTTTCATACCCAATCCACACTTTTCTGGACTTTTTGTAGATTATAGTTTAACATGTGTGTGATAGGTGTATATTATATACGTGTAGTGCATCAGGTAGAAGGAGTGTAATTATTCATCCGTGCCTTTTTTCTTTCATTTTCCATCAATCCTCACGGAACAGACGTGGCATGATTTTTTTTGTTACATGCTTTTGGAAAAAAAAGCGTCAATTATACCTAGAACGCATACCTATTTACGTCGATGAATGATAAATCACGCGGCTTTCGCGTGTCGGTAAATTTAGGGACAAAAAAAGAGACATCCATCCAGCAATGATGGACATTTATACGTTCTTGTGTTGGCACTTATACGCCGACATAATATGTGCACGCGCAGCGATCGGAGCGTAAGTATCTTCCGTACTGTGCTTTAAACATGAAAATTATCGTGAATATGTCATCGAGGCGATGGAGTTTTTATCTTTTCGTTGATCAAGGATTAAAAAAAGATATTCCTCCCATAGATCGGAATTTCGGTAATTAATTTACATCAACGTACTCAGTTGCGGAGTCATCACCATGGGTTAAAAACAAAACGAGATACCTATACGTGCTGGTTATTACGTTCAACAAGAAGCGTTTATTTAATTTAAAAAATGGTTTTTTCGTTCAGCATCGAACACACCCGTATGATTTGACCGTTGATACGACCACAGTTGGGATATTGAAAAGAGAGTCGTAAGAAAAATGTGCCCCATCACCACGAGTTAACGAATGAACAACCGCGCAAGTAAGTATCAAGCGAGCCTGTAAATCGGATGCGCGTAAAGTAAAAGAATATCCACAGGGTCTCGAGAAGCAGCCGTAAACTTTTATACGCCGAAAATAGTTACCTAATCCACTGCAGTAGATGCGACGAAGAAATTTAGATCCAAGAGTCTGGTTTTTTCGAAAAGGCCCTACATAATATATTTCCTCGTAAATAGTCTACAATGTCTTTGACGGTGCTCCCAACGTACCAAGGCCAATCAACTCTTGGTCCCAACACCATCAAAGTATCATCACCGTGCCACTATATTATGCACGGATGCGAGATAAAGAGGGGGGGGGGAAGGGGATAAAATAGCGGCTTCTGCGATTGAGAAAACACAAATTACCAATAGACACGGTCGTATTTTCTTCATACGACGACGCCGTGTTTTTTTGTTAACCCCGCGGACGTATACAATATCGACAGTTTCCTCGGTATAATCTCCTCGCGGGCCGCGCAAAAAAAAAAAAAAAACGCCTGGCCTTAAGGATGTACACCTATGCGCGCACACGCGCGTCTAGATGGACACCTCGTGTACGCAAACTAGCGAGACATACCTAATTACTTTTGACATTGACAGTGCCACGTGACATGATATATATAAATTAAAAAAAAAAAAGAGAGAGAGAAGGCCATACGGTACAGATATTTATACGTGTGTACGGTGCATTTTCTTCAACTAAATTTGTACACTTTGACAATTTATCGGAATTTCCCTGGATGGGGATCATCGAGAGAGTACGTCTAACCTGGAGGAGTCCCTCGTCCACGACAAAGTTCCAGCATTCCGCGGCCACCCCCGGCTGATTGCAGTAATGGTGGTGCAGGTGGTGTTGATCGGTAAGCGCACCGGGGGCGCAGTGCGGCTTGAAGATCACCGGCTGCTGCACGTCGTTCATGTGTATACGCGTGTGTATTGCCCGGGTATATATATTATATATATATATGTGTGGCTACGCTGGTCTGCACTCTCGACTGCACACTGGCCCCGTCTCACTATCGGCAACCCCCCGCACCCTCGATCTCGCGCGATTTATTCCACGGTTATAGTCTCCTCTTGGGACGGGAGACGGCGAACATCCGAGCGAGCCGACAAAAACGAAGCGGCGACTCGAGCGTCGCTCGGACGAGTGTTGCGCGCTCTCTCGAGGACTCGGATCGAGAGCCGAGAGAAAGATCCTCGCACCTACGAGTATACTGTACATACACGTCCGGCGGGACGCTATACGTATATAATACAACACGAACATAGCCGTATTTACCAGAGGGTACTCGAATACTCGCGACCGGGTATAACAAATGTGTTAGATACGCTGGTGGTTTGTTGGACGCGAGTTTGTTGCAAGGAAGAAAAATTAATAAAGAATAAGACGCGTCGTGTATATACCTCCGGCAATAGACGGATGATATTCCACTGATGGATGATTGATGGTCACTATACCGACCGATCGAGCTTACCTCGCTCTCTGTGGGAGTTCAACTATATTTTATATACCTATACACATGTGCTTGCTTTTTCTCTTCGGAGTTATTAATTTTTGTTTTTTTTATCGAGCATCATCAGTGACAGTGAAGCCCACCAGCTGTACACAACCTGTGACGCGTGACACTCCAGAGCCGCGAACGGAATCACCTTCGATCACCGAACGTTTTGACAAAGACCGTATAAGTTATCTATACATATTTTTGACATTTCGGTATTTTACACGATATATATATATATGTACCAAAGTATATCGTCCATTGCAATGTTTTATTAGCACTGATGACGGAACGTGATGACGAACCAACACTGCCGGCGAAAATTTGGCGGGTACCGGTGAGTCGTGGCGGGGATTCATTTCTCGTTCTCAAACTGTATATACGTATAAGTTACATTTTATTGTTTTACCCCATGTATTATATACTTTCCTCCGAGCTCCCAGAGCGCATAATACCGATTCTTAGATCCGAGATACGCACACATGAAAGGTGAGAGACCGTGTACAGGAGAGTCGGTGCACTCGAAACTCCCTCTCTGCGGTGATGGGCAATAAATTATTTTAACGGAGCTGTAAATAAGTAGCGAAAACAAGAGCGGCTTGGCGATTTGTAGATTCGTGGCGTCGTTAGTTGGGTCGAAAAATAAAAATAAATTAAAAAAAAAAACTAGAGGAAAGTACAAGTATCGCAGGAACAAACTAAAGAGTACTTGTTGCACCCTATACTCATATTGAGTTAAGTATACCTATACGGCCTGATTTTTCGTGCTTTTCGCTCAAACTATAATAGGGTATACTGCTGTACTTGGACGACGACGACGATTATAATCAGCGGTAGGTATAGGCTATATTTTTATTATTAGCCGCGCTCGTAAAAATATACGTTACATGTATACACAAGAACTTGCGTAACGTATATATATATGTAACGCATCTATTTTGCCGCGTGCGTGTCGCGAACTGATGGCAATGAGCAACAGGATGGCTAATAGCCGTTTATAGTCCACGATATGTTTTACGATTCAGGAGAATAAGGTGACGAGTCTGACGTTTTTCTTACGTTATACACCGCGGGTAAGTATTAACGTGCACCTGACGCTATAATACACATGCACCTACTATTTATTACACGATTTTGTTTTCCAGTGCATGTGTATGTACGTATGTAGCTCGCAATGTTGCTCGTTTTTTCTTAAAAAAAAAAAATAATAAATAAATAAAAGAGCTCATCATTATTGTTGCACGCCCAGTATGGAGCTGAATTTACCGAGAAAACCAACAATTATATAATATGTACACGTGCTACGGTTGCTACGATAACTCATATAAATATAATATATCGCACAATTATACAACAATTTTTTACACATATACCAAAGAAACAAATATACGTGTGCACGTTTGATATTCAAACTTCAATTTACGAATGTATTTTTCAGTTATTTCTTGAAGGAATGGGAAGTACTTATTTGTATAAATACGTTCTGTAGGTTGATGTAAACTTGAGATTTTTTGACATCGTACCTATTACCAACTCGTCCACCGGCTATACACCACAGCGTATAACCGATAGATGCATTTGATTAGCGATAACGCGTGTAAAGAGAATAATAGCCCAAGCAATTCGAAAGGATATATGCAGAGGAGAAAAAAAGGGGGCCAAAGTATGAAAAAAAAACAAAAAAAAAAACAAAAAAAAACTGACCTGAAATCGGTGAGGGTGCGAGTGGTGGGCATGGTGGTACTGAGTCGGGTGCTGATGGTGAAGCATGTTGGTCGCCACGGAACTGCCGCTCTCGTAGTCCTCGTCGTCTTCCCCGGTCGAGGCTCGCGGATCCTCACCGGCGCCGCTGCCCCTCCTCCTCCTCCTCTTCTTCCTCCTCGACTTTTTTTTCTTCTTCTTCACGTCGAGTTGTTTTTTCTGTCGTATCGCAAGCAATGTACATCAATCACTCCGATCTCGGGGTAACGGCCAAACGGGCTAGCTCAAGTGTATATATATATATATGTATGTACGAACCTCGAGCTGAGCCTCATCGAGGCCGACGAGCTGGAGCGCCTCCTCGAGGTTGAAGCCGTCGGGCAGGCCGAGCGAGTCGTTGCCCAGGAAAGCGTTTACGGGTGGGTAGTCGTCGTCTAAGAGGCAGCCGTCGCCTAGCAGGAGTTCAGCGGCAAAGTCATCCTCGAGGCCGAGGTCGAGCGAGTCCTCGCCACCAAAGCCGACCAGCTCGCTCAGGCTGGCCTCCGCGGCTGTCAGCAACTGCTGATCCTCCTCCTCCTCCTCCGCTCCTGCCGGCTTGTCGTGGCTCTTTTTGCTCCTTCTCTTCTTCCTTTCCGCCTCGTTCGCGGCCTCGCCCTGCTCCGGGGATGACTCGGGGGACGCCGACGAGCAGCCGCTGCTTCCCGCGCAGATGATGTACTCGCCTGTGGAGTTGAGATTTTTTTTTTTTTTTTTTTCAATTTAATTTCACCATATGGACACGCTCTATGGGGAAGGGGTCTCCGAGCTCTGGTTGTTTGGTAATTTTTTTTATTTTTTTCCCTCGCGTTGTTTTCCTTCGGCGGGCTCAGATATTTGAAATCGGGGGGAATCCCCGTGGGGCGGGGAAATTCACTCGGTTTATTTTTTAACGAGTCAGTGGGTTTGTACTCGCGGGCCACGTATACGCGGAGCACTGCAGCGAGAAAAAGGTACGGAGGAATAGATATAGATACAATGGAAGAGTGGGAGGAGAAAAGAGGAAGAGCATCGGCACATAACTAATTGAGGTACAACAGGGGGTTCGGTTTGCCCGGCACCTGCGCCGTGTGTATCCTATTCCTGCGGCCGCATGTTGTTTGGTGCATGCGTGTGTAGGTGAGTGTGTGTGTATACGCGTGATGATGGCGTGGCCCCCACGAAAACGTCGATGTACAAAGTCGACGCCCTACGACCAATGGGATGCCGATCTTTTTTTTTTTTTTTTTCCTTTTTTTTACTCTCTCTCTCTCTCCCCCAAGCTTCTCTTTCCTCTTTTGGTGTTGCGTTCATAAGAGCCGACCGCGTCACTTATCCGAAGATTTTTGTGGCACGTTTTAATGGTACCCCGAGCTCCTTTTTTCTTTTAATTTTCTCTGGTCTCTGAATAGGTACAACGAGACTTTTACAGCTCGAATGCGGGAAAATAAAATAAAATTTTCAATCGAAACCCCCGCAGCTAAAAATTAGGCCTCGACAACTTTCGTTGTTTCAATAATTACGGTGGCAATGAAAAGTTGGGTAAAAAAGTAGTCAATTTTTGTTTTATGACCAACAAAAGTCACGATACAGAGACACGTTCGATAATCAAAAAATGATTAAATGTTTGTACGCCAAACGGAATTTTGAACTGCTTGCAGTCACAAAACTATATTTACAAAAAAAATTCTGGCGCATATACGCTCGTGTTTGTCTACCTGTCAGCCCGACCCTTGGCCGTAGCACTCCAAAATATCTCAAATTCCCGATGAACACGTGCGACTCGGTCTACACTTGCGTCTCCTTCACAAAAGATGGGTTCTCGGCGTTGCAGGGACGAAGAAAAAAAAAAAAAAAAAAAAAAACAAGAGCTGCAACATCTGAATACATACGCGCGCGAGACGAAAGGGAAGGTGTAAGGCGCGGCAGGTCTTGCTCCTGCGCTTCGAGAACTATTATTATTATTATTATTATTATTCCACGAGATTTTATTATTTCTAACAACATGCATCCCACCACCCTCGATACACACAATATATCTCCTTCCCTTCGATCGCCGACGCGACGGGCTCGTGCTGCGGAATATCTACACGATTCTGAATGTACACCTTCGTACCTGTACCATTTTACCTGTAAAGGAAATGTCACGGAGCTAATTTGCACGCGCTTTGGTTGTCGTCCACGATCTTTCCAATTAAACATCACGCGGTGCAATAATCATCAGCTGGACACAATCACCCCACAACCGAGGCTGAGCACAACAGCATTATACATCAAATACCAAATTTTTTTTGTTCAATTTTGATCACTGCAACGTTTGAACATAATGTATACCTCCGTGCAAATCAGCTTCCCCCTTTACCTTATAATCCATATATATGCGTACGGTGGTGATCTCATCGGCGATGATGCAGGCGCCTACCGTCTGTATGCGCATACACTTAAGTACCGCAGCCCGTCTGGCCATCACGGAATAGGTAGCAAAGAGAGCTCGGAATCCTCTTTCCATCGGGCTCGCCTAAGAAAACGCGCCACGTATATATACAAGCCATTTCTGGCCCTTGTGTTTTTCTACCAAGTGCCCGGGCACTCCGTGATGGCCTAGGATGTTCTCACGCCAAGCTCGGATTATAACTACGGATTCCGTTGTTTTCTTTCTCACTCCCTCTCGATGCTCTCTTATTGTTGCAACAGGTATGCGGGCATTAATTCCATCCGGGGCTTCGATTTTTTACTCGGCAGAAGTTATACGCTCAAGTTTTCCGTCCAAACGGGCCAACCTACAGGGATTTCTTATACTTTTACGGCACTACGCGCAATGGCACTCTCATTACCTTTACAATAATCGTGCAACCTATACGTATGGAAAAATGGCCCATTTGTTTTACCCTTCGTTGGAACAGCTAAGTCGGGGTATCTCTATACCTTTCAATAGGGATGGCAGGGGGGTCAGTACTCAATATTCTAAAGCGTATAACATAATAATATAGGTACAGTTTTTGAATTATTTGAGTACATTTAACTGCAGAGATGTTGTACATAGCGCATAAATTTAAAAGTGGGGTAAACGTGATCGCAATTGTGGATACACAAGGTGATTTAATTTTTTAGTAGTTTATTGTAACTGATTAAAAAATAATAAAAATGTTCACACCGAGCGAGTCGACTTTTCGTGCTCTACAAGTCGGAGGGAGGTGGTCCAAGGGCTCAACAGTTGTATCCTGTACCTCTATGTACCATTAAAAAAAAAAAAAAAAAAAAATTGAGTGTAGTTGTTGTTAATTACATACGCGGCAAGTTATAACGAGATAGCAGCTGTGATTACGCGCGTTGGTATATTTATGTATACCTACATGTCCCAATTAACCGAGTCCCCCGTACGCGGTCGATTTATTTCAAATTTCGTAAGCTTATTAAAGCAACGCAGTCTCCTCACAGTAGACGATGAAAATTTACGGTTTTTCGATCACTGAGCTGTATGGTATACGTGTGTGTACGCAGGTTTTTGGGTCATATCGTAAAGTATATCCTGTGGGTCACGGCTTATGCATGTATACACGGCCACGGGACGAGCGACGGTCGGTCCGAGACGTACAAAAATAAATGGGATGTACCTAGAAGGATATATAGTCTCATCGGGGGAGTAAAGTTGGACTTGGTCAGGCATCGTTTGAGCATCAGGATGGGACGGGGGTGACAAAAAGATGATGCTGGTACAGCTGTGACCACAGGTGAAAGAATTATACTCGCTCTGTTTTTGTCGCGCGCAACTGACGGGGGAGCCGAGAGAGGCAAATTGGCTGCAACGAGCGAGAGAAGAAGCTGCCGGCCGACCGACAGCATTAGGTACCACCTCATGTATATATACATATACTATATGGGAGATGGGAACGATGACGCGGCGGCCAGAGGCGAGAGAGACGCGGAAATGTGCGAGCTTTTCAATGCGCCTCTCTCTCTCTCTCTCTCTCTCTCTACCCGGTTATGTACATCTGATGCATAGGTTACATATATATATATATATATATATTCCTCTTGCGCTTCGGAGTCACACTCTTTGAACTTGCCGAGAGGAGAGAGAGAGAGACCGTACACGACATTTCCCTTCTGACACATCATTTCTCATAATTTTCGCCGCACAGCGGCTGGTGGGGTATTATGGTCACCATTTGTGGTATACAAGTCCGCTCGTTTTACTTTGGCCGTGTACCGCCGATCGCCGCGGGATCTGCCGACTGACCCGTGCTCGAGGAGCCTGCATCATCATCTGCATCCCACAGTGCAGGCATCGGCAGTATAGGGAAAATATTGAGTGACGTTTCGCCCCGTTGCCGAGACTTTTTTTTCGCTCGAAACTTTTGTAGTTATTGTAATTTTTACTGGATCCAATGAAAATGAGGTGGCCGATTTTTTGATTAATTTTACCTATACATGCGTATGGAAATAACACATTTTCAAGGAGTGAGATGGAACTTTGGTATTTCCTTCCCAATTTTGACAACCGTATACGCATCGATTGTTTCCAAATGTGCTTTCGGGTAGGTGTGTACGACACCTTGCTTCGAGATGAGGGATTTCGAAATATTTCGTGCGATTCACCGCTGATGGATCAGACGGCACTGCCCAAAAATAATGTTATAGGCAGGCGTGACGTTAACGTGGATACGTGTACTTTTGTACATTCTACAGCGTATAAGCTATTTTCTCTGTGCTCACATTTGGGAAATTTTGTTGTTTTTTTTTTTTTTCATGAATTTTATGGTTCAAGAGTTGACCACCGTGTCAACGCGAACGAGTGCAAACAGATGATCACAACAATAGAGTACCTATATGTTTATCCACGATGATTTAGCCATTTGGTCGTTCAACTACTCCGGGGAATCGCCGAAAGCCCCACTGTACATATATTTTATTAATGTATACCTACTTTGTGAAGTTTCTTTTTTTTGAGATCGCAATAGTTGTATCTTATGATAAAAAAGCCACTGACGTTAATGCATATCAAAAATCTATAAAAAGACAGCCGTTGAATAAGAATTTCGTGGCTCGGTAGTGCTACATTCTTTCGATGATATTTCAAGATTAGATGTTCGAGCACTGGGACGCAGATTAGGAGGAACAATCGAAAAACACCTGCACCGCTGGTCCGACGATTCGAAAAGCAGTTTAGCACAGTCAGATGTATAAACGCACTCATCAATAATCGTACAGCTGATAAATCACCGTAGGTCTATACCCATCTGCGCTTGTACCCAAAGTTAGTTTGACCGCGTTAAGTGAAAAATCTCGGCAGGCAGGTGCGAGTGGAAAATCGGTAAGAAAAGGAAATGCACGTAGGACTCGGTAAAACCAATTTGTCAGCTGGTCGATGGTCACTACCCCTGATGCTCCGGTCGATAAAATTGGTTCCGCATGTCCCGTTTGGGGAGGGTGGTCATAGCGGAAGGGGTTAATTGCCGATCGTCCCGCAGTTGGCACTTTACCGAGTCAAGGGACACGAAAATTACCGTTTCTCGCGAGTCATCATTTTCATAACCGAACTCTTCGGCCCCCTCTTTGCAAGTATACACGTTGAAAATACCTGATGGCTCCCGTTGGTCGTATCCGGGCGTCGGTCACTTCAGCTCTGCATCCGGTAAAACCCGAGGAACAAAACTGCCTATACGGGGCACAATGCGGCACACACACCCACTCCGTTATCGGTGCC